ATCACAATCTCTTATATTTTTAGACAAAGATAGTGCAATTTAAAAACAACTGTATTTCAAAATATGGATAAAATAAATAAGCGGTCGGATTTATATATGAATACAATTGCATCACATTATGTAGAAATCTACGTCGTAGATTTATTAGAAATGAGTTAACATTGATGACTATAGATTATAGTTTCAATACGTGTACAGATAATATTAATTACACGCATGTGGATACACTTTTAACAATAATTTGATAATGTTCACGAATCTAACTCGGCCTTTGATTCTTGAGGGTGTGTTAAATGGATCGTGAGTGGGATATGCGTGTGCGTGGTGTGTGTTCTTCAATGTGTAAAAAAACAACCATGCACAAAAAAGTAGAAGCTTAATTATTTTGTTGAGAAATTCAAAGCATTTTATGTAATAGAGAATGTGCGCGATTTCACAATAAAATCAATATGAACCTAGCAAATTGAATCATATACAGGTAACGTTATCAATAGAATCCACATATGCGAAATAATATGTTAGATTAGCAAATAGCAACTAGTACTATGGTTGACTTCGAAGTTCGAACATGCGGTGGGAACGCATTACGAACTGGCCTCGCGCATCCGCATCCATGTGGGAACCTCCAAAAGCTAGCTGCTCTAGGGACTAAATGAAAATCTTCCACTTGGGACAACTGTACAGGGATAACAGCGTAAGCAGAGAAGGGAAAAAAACACGGAGCAGTTGGTATTATTATTTGTCCTGATCGACTTCCTCGAAGAGTCATCCGGATCGACTTCATTGGTACTAGTTTTGTTGCTGGAACAAACCTTACTTTATCATGGCTGAGCATATCACCACCAGCTGACCAGCATTGTAATATCATCCCCTATACGATAATTTAAGGATTTTTGTCAAAACGGTTCCAACTGATTCCTTAATCTCATTTTTAATATTTCCTACTACCTCTCTCAAAATAAGTGTAGCCATGAGTTTTCACACCCAACTTTGATCGTCCGTATTATTTGAAATTTTTTTATAATTAGCATTTTTATTGTTATGAGATGATAAAATATAAATAGTACTTTACTCGTGACTTATGTTTTTAATTTTTTTTAAAAAATTTTTAAATAAGACGAAAGGTCAAAATTAGGCACGAAAAACCATAGCTATACTTATTTTGGGACGGAGGAAGTACTCTCTATCCCGTAATTGTCGTTATCCACTTATATGGATGCACTTTGGCTCCTAATCACGTGATCGAATGTGATATCACGGGAAGGAGGGGCGGTTTCTGTTGGAATTTTTCTAGAGCCCACACCTTTTAGTTTTTAGGAAGTCAATTTTAACCAATCTATGGAAAAATTTAGCAGTTTAGAATTCCCATAACTAAATCTAGGGGATTGCCCCGTGTAGTTTTGCGCAGAGCTAGATAATTCACCATTATATGTATATTTAGATTTTATATAAAAGTGGGTATGTTTGGGGGAGTTTAAGATTCTAAGAAGCAGTAGTTTATGAGAATCTGGAGAAGCTGGGTTTTCCAGCTTCTGGCTTTTAATTCTACAATTATAACTTTTCAGAATCTAAATAAAACGCTGTACTATTTAGGAGAGCTTCTAATTTGAAGCTCCTCCAAACATGGGGGCCTAGATCTATTTCTATGGACTTAGATTTCATATACAACACTCAACTTCTATTTCTATTGATATAATCGTATTTCGTATACAACTGTATTAATCAACCTATACCGTTATAATTCGAACCCACCATGACCTAACAATTAAGATATTTTTCTTTTTTTATTTATGTCAGAATTTTTATGTTGTGTTCTTTTTCTGGGTTGGGGACTAATCCCTCCAACCCGTAAAACGGAACGACTCATTAGCGCATGATTAATTAAGTATTAGCTAAATTTTTTTTATAAAATAGATTAATATGATTTTTTAAAACAACTTCCGTATAGAAAATGTTTACAAAGAATACACCGTTTAGCTGTTCAGGGAAGCGTGTGCGTGGAAAACGAGAGAAGCCAGTTGGGAAAGGAGGGGGAAGAACACTCTATATCGAATACGATGCCTTCTTTTAAAGCTATCTTAATTATATCTAATAGACAAATAGATAGATAGATAAATTTTGGAGGTAATCCCTCCATCCACGAAAGTAACACATATTACTTTTGTCACCAAGACCAAGGAAAAATTAAATCATCTTGGAAGTTATAAAATCAAGAAGTAAATGCAAGCATGCAACCAATAAGTATTTAGATGACTTCTTAGGTTCTAATCAAACATTTAATTTATCTCTTCATTTAAGTCTTGAATGCATAAAGACTACAAATAAGAACAATTTATTTGGAAAAAACTCAAATGTGAAATATGTCTAACTTTTGTGGATGGAGGGAGTAGAATTTTGAGATGTTGTTTCTGATGCTCAACCCTCATTTAATTTCCCATTTGTTTTGAATCGGTAGGAATTCGCTGGTGGACTCGAACTTTATGAAGCTGTGTTGATCATCAAGAGCAGCCTCCATGGCGAACCCGGCCCGGACGTGGTAGGCAGGCAGGCAGGCTGGTGGCATTTGCCTAAATATTGAACACGTTGCGAACTTGGGGATCGGCAGGCTCCTCGAACCCATGATCACGCACTAACTACAGCGAGTCTGCCCGCTAGAGGTACGTAGTAGAAGAAGTAATAATCCGAAGGGTCCTCGTATAGTCTTGTCACCCAGCCACCGCCGATTACATAGGTTATCCGCCGGACCGCCGCAGCAGCAGCGCGCTGTCGATCGAACGACCAAGTGCACACAAGTTTTGTACTCCGCAGCTCCTCCACAAGACCACAAGGGGAATGCGCGCCTGGTAAGCATGCTAGCCGGTTGGCTGGCCGGCCGGGGCCGGCAGAAGAGAGAAACAGCGCGGACTGGACCTTGCTGTGATCATGAGGCGTACCGGCCCAGCTAAGCACAGCCCAACACGATCCTCGCAATCGTATTAAAGCCCAACTTATTGGAGGGCAGCATGGTGGTCCAATTCCTGTTCGAGCCTAATCAGTAATTATCTCCAGTCCACCTTGGGGGATTCTGCTACAGTCCAATATATATCAACCTGGCAATCACACGGTTTTGCTACTGGGCGAGCGATCGCCCAGGGAGATCAGATCGGAGGGGGCTCCTAGCACGCGCGATTGCGCCAGAAGATCAAGTCGCGAGCGTGTGGAGTAGACTAGGAGTTGTTTCCCTTTTGCTACGTTCAACCCGTGTAAGTGCCCTCCTCCTACTGATACTAATAATGTGATTAGAGTTAATCACATGATTAACGCTAATAAATACAGTACTAGCTAACATGAAGATTTAAATTTTAGATTCGGAGTTGAAACTTTTGAAATTTGAAACTAAAAGTTTTGAATTTTGAACTTGAAAGTTCTAGAATAGGAATTGATTTTTTTTTTAATTTTGGAGTTGAAAGTTTTCAATTTTGGATTTGGAAGTTTTGAAAATTCGGATGAAAGTTTTAATTTTTAGTTGAAAGTTTTTGAAAATTTGAATTGAAAGTTTTAAAATTTAGGTTGAAAGTTTCAAATAATTGATTTGAAAGTTTTCAATTTTGAGTTGAAAGTTTTCAAAATTTGAGTTGAAAGTTTTGAATTTTCAGTTGAAAGTTGAGTTGAAAGTTTTAAAATTTAGGTTGAAAGTTTCAAAATTTTGAGTTGAAATTTTCAAATTTGAGTTGAAAGTTTAAAAAACGGGTTGAAAATTTTCAGATATGAGTGCTCATGTTAGTCACGGCACCTAATTAAAAATTAGAACTAATAATGGAGAATTATAGCATTAATTAAGCTGTATATTGATTTGCCTCACTTGCCCGACTGCCCCTTCGCGTTAATTCCTATCTATACTAGCACATGCATGCATCAGCGCTTTTAGGAAGAAAAACAAAAGTCAAAAGTGTGGTTGGGCCTTGGGCCTAGCTAATGATGGGCCAAAACGGAAATGCGCGCTAGTTATTTATTTAGCGCGTCTGCGCCGATTAGCAATTTTGCAGATGGGATCCCCCTCCCTCCACCTGGTTTTCTTTTTTTGGTACCGCATTACCTTCCTATTTTAGTAAATTTATATGCACGTTTGTACACCTTAAATTTACACATCTAAAGTTTAGAGATCCAAAGTTTATAAGTCAAAAGTTTACATATACCCGTTCAAATTTAAATTTGAATTCAAATATTATTTTATATAGACCTAAAGTTTATAAGTCAAAAGTTTACATACCCATTTAAAATTTGAATTTAAATTCAAATATTTATGGTGTAGTAGGAAGAGAAGAAGGGGAGGAGGAAAGGGGGGGGGGGGGGAGGGGGGAGGAGGGAGCGTATATATAGGGCACAATCACGTGCTGGACCAATTACCGCAACTAGTGTAGTGCAGCACGTTCGTCGTCATGAAGGAATTTGATCACATTCTTATAAGAAAATTACCTCAAATTTTCCGCTTACAAGGCAAGGAGTTTAAAATCCAAAAGAAATAAATAATAAATTTGATTGTGAATATACGTTAACTAACTATAGTTTAATTTATTTTTTTGTTGTGACTTGTAAAAGTTAAATGTTAACTTGTATATTTGTGAAATGATACTCTCTCGTCCTAAAATATAGCAACATACTAGTACCGGATGAGACGTATCATAATACTACGAATTTGGACAGGGGGCATGCCCAGATTCATAGGACTAGGATACGTCTAATCCGGTTTTAGATTGCAATATTCTAGGACGAAGGGAGTATATCACATGTTAATACATATTTTTTTAAAAAATAATATATTTTTGATAACTATTTGAGTATCATATGTACATAACGAGGGGAAGTTCCTCGAAAGTTTAAAATCCACTCGTTAATAGAATACAACACACGTTCCTCAAAGAGGAATTTGCAGCCTACATATGGTAATGTATTCTAACATTACGAGTTGGATGTACGTATGGCGTGCAGTTCCACCGTTCAGCATCCAAATTATTCATACGTAACAGAATTACAGATTATTCATCCAAAGGTACGTAATCACAAGTAGATAGCGATACGGACGTTGTAGCCAGATCGTCTATGCGAGATTAAAGTTTGTCGCACTGAGCCGCGACGAAGGACAGCATGTTGTTCTGCAGATCGTAGAGTACGTGCATGTTCTGCTGCTGGAAGTTGCCTATTATGGTCGTCTCGTCGCCTTTGTTAATGGCAAGGCAGATGATGCTGTTACCCGCGTCGTCGGGGACCTCGAACACGTAGTTCTCCCGGGGCAGGTCCATCGTCGCGCCCTCGAAGTGCAGCACCAGCTTCGGCACGTCTGGCTTCGCCTGCGACGGCGCCGAGAAGCAGGTGTAGTGACCCGTCGCGTTACCGGGCACCACGGGGAGCTTTATCTGCGCGGCGAACTCGTCGCGGACGACCTGGTAAACCTGTGGCGGCAGCGACGTGATGGACGTGCCGGAGTCGATGATCGTTCCGCCTGTCCCGTTCGTCAGCGCGAACGCGGACTCCGGCACCGGCAGCCTCGTCGACCCCACGGTAATGCCCTTCAGCGAGAGGTAGTATAAAGTTGGATTTGCTTCATTTTTAGCGTACTGGATTAGAGGTGTGGTCTGGACGGCGCCCTGGCCGTTGCTGAAGAGGTCGGCCGGCAGATCGAGCAGGACGGTGCTCGGTATAGCTCCGGTTATGGTGGTGAAGCAGTGGGAGAAGTTGCCCACTTTGAGCTGCGACGGGAGGGACAGGGGCCCGCGGCCGAAGCCAGCGATGCCGGTCTCGTTGGACTTGAAAACCCCGTTGTTAAAGAGGCCGCAGCCGAACGCCACGCCGGGCACGGACGCGCCGGCGCCGACGAACGTGAACTTGTCCACTTCGAGGAAGCCTGTCGTCACCGACTTGTCGCCGTAGGAGTACGTGTATACGCATGTCTGGTTCGGCCAGAACTTTGGGCTGCCGCACGACGCAACCGGCAGGCCCTGGCACAGCGTGGAGTCGCAGGAAGTCAGCGAGAGCGTGGAGGATGTCGACGGGTCGAAGTAAGGGAGAGCCTGGTCGAAGCATGCGGGGCACGGCTGGCACTGCGTCCAGATGAGGTCGCTGCCGGTGTCGAGCGTCAGCTGCACGGGCTGCGGCGGCGTGCCGATGGCCAAGTGCACCAGGTACTCCGTCGTAGGGACGCCGTTGTCGTAGGCCCCGGGGGATACCGGCGCGCTCGCTGAGCCCGAGAGGAGCCGCGCGGCGCGGGCCCTGCTGCGCAGCGCCATCCGCTGCATCAGCTCACGCCCTGCCAGGCCACATCCAATGTCAACGTGGGTGATCTGCATCCGGACGGTCGCCGCAGCATTGCAGCGAGAAACGTCAAGCGCTGCAAGCAAGGAGACTATCCAGAGAGCTAGCTTTCGCGGTTTGATCGGCTGCTTCGTCATTAACTGATGTGCAAGAAGTACTTTAGTTTCTTGTTATTTTGACTGTGCCAGCTCCCTATGCCAGCACTAGTAGCTGCTAATCTGCTATCGATCTAAGTTTGTGCTGTAAGTTCAACCGTTATTAGCTCTATATATAGCGTGGTTATGAGCATGTTAACGTTATCAACTCTCAATTAGTTATAGAGACCCCCCCTAAAAAAGAATTAATTATAGAGAAAAATTCACTTTACATCCCTGATCTTCACGAGTTAACCCCCAATCTAAATTAAACTTTAAAATCGGGCTCTATTAATCCCTGAACACTACGTGCCGTTTACTTTTCACCCATTAACCTAATTCAAATTGGTGTTTAATTAATGACATGGCACTGGCATTGCAATGTGTTGTAAGAATCAATATATACTTCATCCGTTTCATATTATAAAACTTTCTAGCATTGTCCATATTCATATATGTCGGTGATAAGGGCCCGAAGGTACCGGGAGTATCGTACTTAAAGGGGAGGAGCCACCCTCGGTATCCACGTGGCATTCACCCCAAGGGGTTGCGCCCGTGGACGAGTGGAAGCCGCCCGTACCTAACCCGAGGGGTCGGGCCGCTCCGAACCCTCAGGGTGATCACCACGTGGCCACCATGCAAAGGTGATTCGTGGACGCCTCTCCGCACCCACCTAACCGCATTTAGTACGGGCGGAGCGAGCGTGCCTTGCCGCATTAAATGTTGTGTGCCGCTTGCCTGACCGAATCTTGACCGGGCGTGACCGGTTGAAACGATGGACGAGACAGCGGCAGGCCACACGCGGTCCGCCCAGGCATCAGGCGGCATGCAGTAGGTATGCCATGTCCCATCGAGATGACGGGAGACACAGCGCTCGGGACGGTGTTCTGGCTCATCCGAGCCTCAAGTCTACAACCATTAAATGAAGAATGACAGGGATCCCCTCCATGTCGGCTTGCGTCAGTCGGCATGATTTGATGGGGCCCGCTTGACAGCCGATGCTCAGATGATTTTCAAGCTGTAGCGCAAGACACGCATTTAATATAAAGAATGTTTACTTTCTTGCTGGAGGACACACCGAACTCATGTAATAGACCCTTGGAGTATAAAAGGAGGTGGACGTCCGGTGAGAGAGAGGGGACAAGTTAGAATATGAACACTTAACCCTAGCTTGTATACCAGAGATTCAGAGACTTTTAAAGCTCAGAAAAATCATCATACGCAGGAGTAGGGTATTATGCTTCTTAGCGGCCCGAACCTGTATAATTCTTTTTGTCTCGCCCACTAGATCGCGGCCCCGACCCACCTCAAGTCTTTCTAATACAGCCAGTTCCTCAATCTACACCCGCTGCCTCCGGCTGAATTGAAAAAGGAGGGGCCTCATAGTTCCCCGCTCGAGGAGTTCATCTTCCGACAATATATATGTTAATCTAATATCTATATAAATATGGACAATGCTAAAAAGTCTTATAACATGAAACGGAGGGAGTATTAATTAGAAAAATAACAGGCCCTGCCTTGAAAATTTCTCAAAACTATAACATCACCATGCAGTGAAGCATTTAAAACAAAACTATGTTTTCTACAAGCAACATATGATTTGCCCGTAGAAGATACGTGCTCGCTTCGTTACTGAAAGACTGCAGTTTTAGTCTAATAATTTGTGCCATAAAGATTGTATTTTTAGACCTCTTTAATACTACTTTATCCTTTTATTCTTATTTTAGCCATAGAACCAGTGGTACTCCTTCCTTATTTTCTCCCCGCATTAATGAAGTGCATAGTAGTTTTTAAAACATTTAGCTTAATCTATCTTTGACCAGTCAAAACTATATTATTTTAGAGACAGATGAAGTGGTTTTTAAATCTGAATAATTTTTTTAGGTAAAACAACAGGAGAGGCTCCTACTGTGCTATATTAAATAGATAGGGTAAAATACAAGATTACAAGAATAATATCATACTTTAAGAGAAAATAAAATATATTTTAGCATTGGACTGTTTGTGTAAAGTTTTAATTTGTCATTAGCTTTTTTTGACAGAAATTTCTCAATTCAGTATTTCTTTTTTTTTTTAAAAAAAAAGATCATAGACATGGCCCACATATGAAATTGCATTTGAACTTTTAAAAATAAATATTATTCCTAAAAAAGTATTGAAAATGTTCTAGTTGCACATTTGTGTATAAACCTAAATAAAACTAAGTGTTTCCTCGCGCTTTGCTGCAGGAATTACTAAGTAATCTGTAATATATATTTTTTAACAATTGAGGAAGGAGTAAACATGATATTAGTTATTAACACCAAATAATTGGTTTGCCGAGCTTTGTTTGGAGAGAAATAAATTTAGTAGAATGTATAAAAGATTGTAGATGAAATATTAGGTTGTTGGCAAAGATTTGCATAGCAAGAAGCGGAAGATAGAGAGAATGATGAAAAGTCATGGTTTATAAGTACTAATTGTAAAACGAACTAATTAAATTATACCCAGCGCTTTGATACAAAATATATGGATGAATATATATTAAGTCTTATAAAAATGATGGATATATATGCTGAAATATTGTGAAAATGATGTGAGAGGTGATAATTGGATATGTTTATATGTTTTTTATAGAATTCGATAATAATATTGCATGCTTGCATGAGATTTTTGATAAAAATTATTGACAGTGGATGATGATGTGGCATGTTTATATGTTGAACTTAAAACTTAGTGGGTATAGAAGGTAAACCTAAAAAAATAGTTCCATTCTAAAATAAAGATTATTCCAAGAAAAACACTTATTTTTTAACCATATTATATACTTCCTCCGTCACAAAATATAACAATTTAAGAACGAGACAACGTATAGAATCTGAATTAAATTTAAAAATATACTATAATTTTTTTCTTAAAAATATATGAGATGTAAATTGTTTTCACAAATATACTATGATCGTTAAACGATGACGCGAAAGCGACACGGTATCGCTGAACCATTCCGTATTCCGTGAAAATGACGATGATGCAAAAGCGACACAGTATCGCTGAACCATTCTGTGAAAATGACCATTGGTGACGACACGCCACGGTCTCGCATGGTAGGGCCGTGATAGTGCGGGACCCGCGACGGCAGTATCGCTGGCCGGTTCAGCGAGATGGCATATGGTTTAATGATTAATCACGCTGATTAGCTAATTACACTAATCAATCTGTAGCTAGGGATGCGAGAGCGGTCTCTGGATATTTCGTATTTTCCAGCCACCGCGCGAAGTCGTGTGGCATTGCGCATTTTTATTCTGCGATAATAGTATATTTCTGCTATTACTTTTTTTTTCGAACGCTTCTGCTATTACTTTTGAACGTGTATATTTATGTAAAACCAATTAAAAATATATATTTTCAATTCTTTTTACTATAGAATTTGCCTTATGCAATTGAGTTTACATTGGTTCAGCGATTTACCGTTGATACGGTGACGAGCGAAGCTCGCAAATCTTTGTCTTCTCGCCCTGCCCCAATGATGCAATTTGCATACACACAGCCTGGTTGCAATACCAATCCAGATAGCTAAACACCCATCTCATTGCAGTGTTCGGGTTCTTTCCGCGAAAGAATTAAGCTAATGTGGATTTTAGAAGCTGGTGTCTACCAATATGGGTAAAGCTTCATATATCCTTGTTTTGGAGTTCTTAAATCTTGAAGAAACTAATTAACATTGTGGCTCCAATGGACTGACCATGCACAATTTTGTATATATCAACTAAAAGGTAAAATTAGACTCCATCCGAGTACAGCTTTGTCAATCACAATCTACGTACAAGTGTTGTCAATGGTTTACTTCGAACTAGTCGTGACAAGAACACATCTGGCCTGGTGCCTTCACATGTGCGAACTTCCAAGAGGATTAGATATTGTGACAAAATTGACAGGGATAGGAACAACGAAATTGAATGTAAAATTTCCAGTTGGGAGAAGTACATAAGAACAACGAGATGGAACTTTTCCAATTAGAAGTGGACATGGATGACATCACAGTTTTGGTATAATTAACAATCGGTATGGAAAAGGCAAAATTGAATTGTACAGAGATATGTAACTTGTCAAATGTTAATCACAGCCACAAATTTATAAATACGTACCCAAAATAGTTTGTTAACTACTAGCAAGTAGCAACTAGTTCTTTTAATGTTTTTTCACTTCGAACTTAACCAGTCACTGCGTGCAAACTATTGGAAACACATTCTTGCGTAGCGCGTACACATGTGCGAACTTCCAAGAGCAACTGTTGCGACCAAACGAAAATTTTCCAGTTCAAAAGTGGCTAGAGATAACAACTTGATAGGAATAACATGTAGGAGCACATCGATAATCAGAGTAGAGCTGGACTTTTTCACCTTAAATCATTCACCCTTGCATGCTTCTAACCTATCAGATGTCAATCAAATACTCAGTTTTATATTATAGAAAAATATAGCAACATTTTTAACATAAAACAAACATATTATGAAAAATATATTTAACCTATACGTCGTCACCCGCGCGCATAGGCGGGTGGTCCGGGGAGTGATCCCCAGACCACCGAAAAAAAGGGCGATCGAGTAACCCACTATTAAAAATAAAAGAAAATAGCGACTTTGAAAAGAAAAAAAAAAAGCGATCTAATCTCCTCCTTCCCAACTCCTGCCGACCGCTGCGCGGCTCCCACAGGCCCCACACGCGACTACGCGAGGCGATGCTCGTAATCGAATCGACGCCCTAGCCTGACGACACGATCTCATCTGTTGATCACAGATTACTCCACGCGGGCACGCGACGCGATCAGCCGATCACAGAGCCACGGCGCCGCTAGGCGCCAGCCCACGCGCGACCCGGCGCTCGCGCTCCAACGCCCATGCCGCCGCGCGCGAGTCCCGCACTCCGCCGCCTTGGCCGCTGCTGTGCTGCGCCGCACTGTAGTCTGGCTGCCACTGGTGCTGACTTGCTGTGCGTGTGCCGCCGCCGCCGCGAGGAGCCGTCGTCGAGCCGATCAGCCGCCCGCGCCAACAAGGCAACAATTTTAGGTTTTCTACTTATGTACCTTTTTCAATTTTACTTAATT